GCTAGCTACGTTTCACGCACCTATCCTGGTACATACGTCCGTCAAACAGTCACTGTCCACTCTTTTCTCTTATCTCACCGCACTGCATTAACAAGCTGGACAACATTAATGACGTTCAGTGTACAATAAATTCATCTAAATAGACTTTATATTACGTATGCTATTTTTCAATAATAATTGACCACAATTTTGTATTTTTTTGAGCCGTTAGAATGGCATTACCTCTTAAAAAAATTAAACAAAAAAGAAATGATGAAAAAAAAAGTTTTCCTCTGTAGACGCGAACGCGGCACCTTACGATTACGAAGTTGAATCGTTGTCAACGCACCCAATGCATGTTCTTCATACATGTTCTTCATACATAGCTGGTGGAAATGCGCAACCTCACTTGTTGCGATACGGACTCTCATGAAGATGTAAGAGAAAAATTGACAGCAATGGAAAAAAATCTCGTTTCCGCTTAACGCTTTTGCATTTCTAACATAGATACATTTCTCCATTTCATTTTTTGTTTTAACGTGCCGTGGTATGATTAAAAAAAATTTGATAACGCTCGCACGTATGGCAGGCTGTTTCACTTTTCGATAGTTTATATATTATTCAGCCGAATAGAAAAGTAGTAAAAAATGTCCCAAAAAATGGCACTTTTTAATATCGGGTAAAAAAAATGAAAATAGTATGTCTGCTTTGAAATTTTTAGTTTTATACATTTTTGAATAGCCTGATTCAATTTAGTCAATTTTTTAATTCATGCTTACGGAAAGATAATTTTATTTTTAATATTTCGAACTATCAGTATGTTCTACCTCGACATAATTGTCTGATAATTCGATGTATTGAAAATGTTGTCTTTCCGTAGCCATGAATGATAAAAAGTAAATGACAAAAAATTCCTAACCAGATACATTATTCGTTTCATCTCACTATAGAAAATAATTGCTTCATTTTTATATGCTCATTATTATTTTTATGCCCGAGATTTGTAAGTGCATTTTTGTTTTTGGTAATTTTCCGTAATGTCTTCTTTATCCGTCTAAATCTTATTTATGCTATTAAAACATGAAACAGCGTAACATAGGTGTTTGTCACAGGTAGGCTCTCGGGAAGAAGAAACGTTCGCTGATTCATGTACCCATTTATTGGATGTATACGATGTAATATAATACAATATTTGTAGATTAATATAATCATATATTTAATGAATCTTAAGTTAACTAGGTGAACTAATAAGCATAGTTGATAATTAAGAAAAAAAATAAAAGGGTTGAGACGTGAGTTTCGAACTCGAGACTCTCGGACGTTAATCCAACACCAAGCACGTGTGCTATCGAGTCGTTGTGATATATCATTTAGCAAACTTATATTTGTGTTGTTACCCACGTTCGAGAGTTTTTTTTAAGTTTTATTTGCTTACTCTATTATTTCCAGAGCTTCATATGGATATTAAGGGTATTGACTACCTTATTACTACGGTTTATGTAATATCCTGTAAAAAAAAAGTTGGATACAAGTCTCCCTATTTGAGTGTTCACCCGGTTTAAAATCATAGATCTCGAGGAACACACGAATTCATTGGACCAATCAAAAACGTGGAACTAGTTCGAGAGTCTCGTTCAGGTGGCGCGTCGACGCGCCAAAACACAGCTCCAGATTATCACGCGTAGTATTACTATATATACACGACCAATCAAAAACGTGGAACTGCTTCGAGGGCCCTCCGCTAAGGTGGCGCGCCGAAACCAGAGAAAAATTGGCTTCACCAAAAACAGGCTCATTGGCAATCTCCCTACTCATCTCTGCTACATGCATGTAACATACAACGAGGCTATACCACGGGCTATACACATTTCGGCTGATGCCGAATTCAAAATTTATTTTAAACATGAACTATGACGTGAAATAGGGTTGGCATCATCTTTTTGCTATGTCGCTGCTACGGAAAGTTGAACGTTGATCAACTTTCCAAAATCGCAGTCCAAGCATTGGAATCTGCTTAGTAATGAAGTCATGTTTAAAAAAAAATTATGTATTATTATTTTCAATGTAGTATACTTGACTCTATATACGTAATTAAGGCAAATAACTTATTTCTTAATGCTTTCATACGGTTACCTAATATAAAAAGGCAGAAAATGTAGTTTCGCGGCCAAGATTCCGCTGCTCGCTTCCCGCTTCTCGCTGCTTTCGGTCTGAATGAGTCCTAACTATGTGGAGCTGTAAAAAGATTTTACTTTTCGCAACTCTCACAGTTACATAAATGCGATTGCGCCTTGAATAATGGCTACAAAATGGCAACCATGGAAACATGCCTTTCGTTTAGAGATGACCGATAGAAGTGGCCGATCGGAGTGTGTCTAGAGCCGTGCTCCAGGGTATGTACACGGCGTACGATACCGGTAGTTATTGGTTAAATAAAATGTCCTGTTACGGGAAGATGAGGGCTGCTTGTGCTCTTGTGTGTTTTTCTCTATTTTTGACAATAGTAAGCGTAAACGCACAAACGTCGAAAAAACCATGGGTGGACCAGCTAAACGAGGACAACTGGGATCGTATGCTCACTGGAGAATGGATGGTAGAATTGTAAGTTTAAATGGAATCTGAATCTGCTCCGACATCGTTATATATTTGATGGCGTGTCAAACGTCACGCTGCATGAAGTCCATAAATAATTGTTTTTCTCTAAATTTATTCATACTCTTCTAGCCTTTTGAATAATATTTTATCGTTCTATTATTTACACAATACTGTATGTAGATATATGATATTGAAAACAGTATTCGAAATAGTTCGACGAATATTTGAGTCGTAAATTACTATTAGCAGCATAATTATTTCAAAAATTATTCATATTCATGTTCTTATTGCAGCTATGCTCCTTGGTGTCCAGCGTGTAAATCTTTAGAGCCGATATGGGAAGCTTTGGCAATGCAAAAAAAATATCTTAATATAAATGTTGGAAAAGTAGATGTCACAGATTCACCAGGCCTCAGTGGACGATTTATGGTGACTGCTCTACCTACAATTTATCAGTGCGTTTTATTGTGCTTTGGTATATATTCACGTGCAGTTACACAATTTTACATGTCTATTAATTCCCTATTTTATTTGCAGTGTAAAAGATGGAATATTTAGACAATATAAAAGTCCCCGTGATCAGGATTCACTCATTGAGTTTGTAGAACGAAAGACATGGAAGAAGGTTGAGCCTATACCCAGTTGGAAAAGTCCAACTTCTATCCAAATGTCTGTCATAAGTCATTTCTTTAAGATGTCTCAAGTGTTACGGGTAATTAATGATAAATCGTATTGTCTTCGTGTGTTAATTTTTTGCATAAACATTTTATTGTGTTTATAATGAAATTGGGTGTAAAAATTTGGTTCCAGGGGATACACAATAAACTTATGGAAGATTTTGGATTACCTACTTGGGGAAGTTACCTAATCTTTGCTGTAGCAACAATTATCTTGGGCGCAATTTTGGGATTGGTAATTATATTTTTATTCTGAATCTATCGAATGATTTGAAGGTATGTTTTGCCGATTGTAACTTACATATATGTTTAATTATTTTCAGTTCATTGTTTGTCTGATTGACTTCATTTATCCACCCAAGCCATCTCTATTCCAAGGTAAGAAAAAGCAAAGAGATGGGTCGGGTGGATTTATGCAGGAAAAAAGTTCAGGTGATGAAGAATTAGTAGAGAACGTGAAGGACGATCTCGAGGACGAGGAGGGTAGCGAATCTGATGAACCGGAAGGTGAAAAGGATAAAGATGCGAAGGCAGCTCCGAGTAGCCCCAATGTCCGCAAGCGTAAGCCTCGTAAAGCAGATTAGAAATGTTAGTTTCTTAAATTCAAATAATTGCATTCACGAGTGACATTAACGGTTTAATTATTTCTTATAACATTTTTACACATGGAGATGTTAGTTTACATGACACTACGTGACTATTCTATACCTCAACGTGACAGTATTTCGCAAGGAATTGTGCTAAATATCGAATAAAGTATGATGACCTTTGCAACTTTCGATAATAAGTTACCCACTGAAAAAGTAGTCAGTGCATCATTTACGTCATCTCATCTTATACACAATGGTCAATTAATCAAAAACTTATGCTGATGCACCATTTCGCTAGGTACCGCATGCCTGCCAGTATTTATATTCAATCTATTTTTATAACTGTTCAAGAAAATAGACCATCTCATTGTACTTTACTCGACACAATGCCTTTCTGCTGTTCAGCGAGATTTAAGACATTTTTTATTTATATTTCTTTGAGATTTATTGTCAATCGTTTTAATTGTACTACCAACTGTAATTAAGGAAGGGGAAAGAGAAATAGTGGCAACATATAAAAGTAATTTTCATTGCTCATTAGATTGTACTAACTGATATTTTATAATTAACTTTGAAAGGCCAAAAAATGGAAGTGAAAGAAAGGATTACCTCCTGAAGTGGACATGAAGAGCGACGCGGATATAATAGCTTAAAGCGAACATCTTAATCTTAACAAGGACTTTAGTGAACGGTTTCGAAATCCTTCAGAATGATAAAAATTGAGGGAAAAATAAAAAAAATGATTAATCGATTGACTGAAGTAAAATTAATCATCTCCAACATCTATTATAATTGGTAGTACAGAAACGTGGTGAAAGCTGAGAAGATAGAATCATATTTTGTTTGTAACACATAAAAATCATGAAGATACAACAAAGACAAAGAATGTGTACAGTCAAAGCCCGCTTATGTTTTATTATAATTATTTACAATGACAAATGAACGGCATTGCATTTCCGAATTTTTTTTACTGGATTTCGATGATTAGCGTATTATAATTTTGCGTATGTAAATAATGTTTCATTTCGCGCTCGTCCGAAAATCACTGATAAGGATTGACCGAATTACTACTCGGTCACAACGCATCACCAGGAGTCTTTGAATATAACCAATTGAGAACAAGTATATATATCTAGTAAAATGAGTGATGGTATGTCGAAGGCCCATTTTCAAAACCTAATAAGTGACAAATCGTAGAAAAAACGATTTTTATGCTCATTAGGTTCTATCTGGCATATTGTCGTTGCAATTTCAGTGATAAAGCATGTATTATACCTGCATCCATCAAATCTTGTTTTTAGCGTAAGACTAAAACATTTGACGACGCTGTTAAAAATTTGCTCTTACGTCGCGTATTAGGTTTTAAAATTGGGAAGCCGATGTGTTTATGAAGAATTGCATTTGTTAACATATTTATACACTACTGTAACACCACAGTGTTTCCATTTATGTACTTTGTGAACACAAGCGATAATATTGTGTGCGATTTTCTATGCTGTATAATTAAGTCTTCCGTATCATTACGCACAGTCTTAATGATATTGGCAACCCAAGCAACTTGCAAAATTGCGGATAGCGAGGTCTAACGCTACGTAATACGGCTAATTGATATAATTTGATAAACAATTTTTTCACATTTTGCAGTACTTCGTTACTGCACCAAGGAGTTGCTAGTAAAGAGAGCCAACCTTTTCTTTTAATTACACATTCGGTTGGCCTCACGACTCTGCGTCACTCAAAATGAGAGTCTTACGGGATTTTGTGCCTGAAAATTACTAGGCATAGTGGGTACGGGAGATATGCTGGAACGAGCATAGCATTTTTTTGAGATGGTGATGAGACATAGGTATTCAGAGACAGTTCTTCGTTTTAAGCACGATCTTAAGACATCCTCTACCATGTGTTATTATTACTATATTTACGGTCTTAAGACTGTGCTTCGTCTCAAGCACTGACTATGAATACCGACCTTAAAGTTGCATTTCAGGCACAAAGTACACGGGGGCTGATCCTCGTTACCAGTAATCTTCTTGATATATCAACCATGGCTATGTTTCCATCAAAGTCGAACATTGGATGAAACATAGCCTATGATATTTCTCTAGTATTAGTCGATTATTGTTATATTCATTCTTCTCTAATTGCAGCGGTCTATCGTTCCGCAGATACATTCCAAAATTATGAGATAAAAAAGAAAAGAAAGGAGAGCCTTCGAGTTTATGTCTTGACAGAGAGAATAAGAGAGAGAGGGAGAAAAAAAGAAAAAGGGCAAATACACTTTAATGCGGAATGTATGATAATGCAGGGTAGCGAAGTTAACTGTGTAACATTGACTGCCTAACAATAAACGTATTTAATAAACAATAGATGTCTTGTTGTGCAATCCGTCCATTTGATGCATGGATAGTGAGCAACACTGCTCCGGACAGGTCAACTGTTAGCGCAAGGCATTAGTGGGAGTATGCAATATAAACTAAAATACGTATCGCTAATAATGGCCTACGCGATAAGAGGCAAAAGCTAACGGGCAAGTATCGTTGACCGGAAGACTGGCAGCACTTCTAAGTTTTCACAGTCTATGGATCACGGTTCGACGTAACACGTGTTGGGTCGAACAGTACGTTTATTTAAAGAGAACGAAGATATACTACTTTCATCACAAAAACGGAGTCGTCGTTGCTGACTCGTAAGTTCCATTTAATCTCGGCTAAAGATAGTTTATGTGCTCTTTTTGATAATTTACTGCAATATTTTTGAGCGTTGATCAATCAATAAACTTTTAATGCTATTTGTTTCTCTCATTATTGCATGAACAATCGCGCAAGGCACATCCTGGTACGGGTATGAATGAGCTGGCAAAATTCGTGAACCATTGTTTCAAAAATATTTGCTTTCTACTCAAGGAGTTGCGTGGCCGTATTTTTTATAGCGTTTTTCAAGTTTCTTAAGATGTTCTGTCGCGGTCACGACATGTTATCTCATGTACGTCTAATTTTGCCTAACCTGATCCACTGTCCATCATAACCTGATTATTGAAAACAACATATTGTTGACTATCTCTGTATAGAATCGACGTTCGATATTTTCTAGTGGGATTAGTGTATGTTCTTTGAAATTTGTTTAGAGGCAGAACTTATTTGTGTTGGTGAATAATGTGGAAATTTACTTGATTCTGAAAAATTCTGAAGTAAAGGAAAGGCATATGGAGCCATAGTATATTATATGCTCTGGTCGCCATATATTAATATTAATTGTCAATGTTAAAGTAATTTCCAGTAGTAGTTTATACAAAATTAAATTAAAAATTGTTTATTTCTCTATGTAGTTTATTAGTCAGGTGAGACATAACATAGTTCTTGATAGTATCAAATAGTTTTTTCTGCATCTTCTTTTCTATCTTCTGTGTTAACATGAATATATATGTGAAGATGGATCTCATGAATAGTTAATTTTGCAGACACCATTTTTCTTTTCATTCCAATCCGCATTAAGATATATATAATATCATTGTAAAATATGTAACAATTTTTAGCTATTCAGTTGTTTTATACGTTACAGCATACAACAATATTAGCAGGACGCAGACCATATATAACTCTACCTTGAACTATACAGCTTAATCAGTATCAGTTTGATATTGAAACGTGCTTAGTATACAAAAAGTATATTTGATAAAGCATCCAAAATCTGTGGAGGTACAGAAGGGCTCTATGTGCTCCATATCAACCACATCAATCGACACCTTAGCTTCGTCAGAACTCAATCACAAATATCCTGAAAGTAGTACATTCGCAAGTTACAAGCGGAGCGGACGTCAAGGACAATATGCGCAACGAAATCACAGCAGCAGTACTGTTCTTAGTACAGCTGATCGAAAAAAACGAAAAATTTAGTCCTGATCAACTGGAGTGCTTCAGACGTCGTCTGGTCGAACTGTTGACGGAACGTTTCAAGAATCACTGGTTTCCTGACAAACCCTTCAAAGGTCAAGGCTATCGCTGTATTCGTGTAAATGGACATAACCGTAGAGACGCAACTTTGGAGAGCGCTGCTCATGCAGCTGGTGTAAAGTATGAAGACTTATCTCTACCTGTTGAATTGACACTTTGGGTTGACCCTAAGGAAGTCTGTTGTCGCTTCGGTGAAAGCAAGGGCTCATATTGCACACTGGCTTCTTTTGATGACAAGGAAAATACTGTACCGAAGAAACGTAAGGAGGAAGACAAGGAGAACAAACATGTGGAAGGACCGACCAAGACTCAAGTAAGTTAAATTGTCATTTCCAAATATATTAATAGAAAAATATTTAAAACGCGGGGGTTTTGCCCAATCTCTTTGATTCCCAAAAAAGAAGAAAGTGTTGCATTTTCAATTGCAGAAGTCGCCAATGGCTCCTAGCACAGTGGAGCACAAACCAAAACCACTAGGCTGCATGAATCAAAATCAACAGCATCCAAATAATGGTACAGGTAGGAGACACAATGTGCATAGTCCAAGACCAAATATCAATAGAAACCGCTCGTGGTTTAACCATACATTTAGTATGGGTTATGGTCCCCATCCAATGAATCAACCTTGGTACAACGTAATGCCACCTCCCTTTATGGGTGGCCCATCCCCACCGCCTTTTATGGGTCATCGTAGAAACAAGTGGACCCATCCATCCTCCTATCCAGCTGGTCCCGCTCGATTCCACCATTGGTCCCCCAAAGCTGCCCTGAAAGTTTAAAGCAACGATACAGTCCAAACTTCAAAAGAGCTCGCTTACCGATTTCATTGTTACCGTTATATCGTATCACTTTTCGTTCTTGACGGCTCTTAATTCGGTGATAGACCGATTGATTAAGTGTCCGTTTATATAACAATGATTTCCCCCATCTAACGATCCGCTAGACTAATTGTAAATAAAGGTATTCGTTGCCTTGAACAATAAGCACGTGATACACCATGAAGGATGGGGATGTAAACGACAAAGTATATCGTCGCGTGCGGTAACACGGCTCATATCAAGCTAGAACTAAATTGGTAGCGAATTTTTTCGGTACCTAGTGACGAATAAACGATCGATTTAAACACATAAGAAACGAAACCTGTTCAAAATGCGATTACGGATTACGATTACGAATTTTTATTTTATTTTATTTTATTTTCGTCCATACTAATTTTCTCTTACTCTATATTATATCTACATAGTTTCTTCTCTGTTTTTTCTTCGTTGTTCGTATATGATCGGAACGAGGATGTTGCATTATAATGTTTCACACAAATAGTTAAATTATACGATAGTACGCGTTTAACTCCGAATGCAAAGTTGCTTAGAAAGCAGCAATACGTTAGCGCGCTCTTAGGTTCTAAGTCAAGCCGAACGGATAGACGAGACACGTAGTAGAAATTTATAATATTGCGCATTAAGGAGTATATAATGAGATGAAATTCATAGATAAATTAACGACTGTCCGCAGACAAATTAGTTAATGTAAAAAACGAGTGCAGTATTGACTTTCAAACGACTGTTTAGCAAAAGTCAGAACTTGTAGATAGACATACATACGCGTGTTACAAAATAGCTTATACGCAATGTGATCTGACTTTTTCAAATGAGCCCTCTTAATTCATTAGTTAAAATTGAGCGTATACCGATTTGTGTAATTCCAAATATTTGCTTTAGTGTAATGTGAAAGATTACATATAAATTGGTTTTCTTCACCACTTCTTAGATTTGATTTGGAATTCTCAAATTAGATGATTCGAGTGTAATTTTTGAAAATTCCTATCATCGGTAATCAGGAAAGAATTATAACTGAACAAGAAAGAATATAAGAAGAAAACAAAACTTGTTTCTAATATGAGAACTGTCCTACTGAGCTTAAAGATACTAAAGTAAAAGTTTAAAGTTATACTAACGTATAACTTCAAATACAAAATAGTAGTGGAATAGACATATTTCGTACAATTTACTTGTTTAAGCAGGAAAAAAATCAACACTAATCAGAATTAGTTTTTCGTATACAAAGGGAATAAATGTGCCGCAAAATGTGTCACTGTTGGGATAGAATATTTAACATGTAACGAATTAATTGCGCATTCAATTGCTGTGTAAAATTATCAATGTTTCTAGTGATAAATGGGAACAATAGTCAAAGATCATGAAAACACAAAATCGTATCTGCCACTTTAAATTTACTGCTGTGTTTACATTAAACATTGCACGAATACTAAATAAGGACACGTTGAAGGTGCGAGGGACTCATTAAGATATAAACGCTTATTTAACCGCCTCTATTATGAGATCCCTTTCACCAAAGAAAAGAAACGATAGACAATGATGCATAACGACTTCGTTCGATTGTTCTCAATTCTGTTGTTCGATATCCTTTTTTTTTCAATTTAATTTTTTTTAATAGTGCGAAATGAAATTTCATCTCGTCCCGCACCGAATGCCATTACGTCTAGGCCATTGGAAATTCATGTGATATTAATTTATTAATAAATTGACCAATATCGTCACTGTATTATCCTTCTGTAATATAAATATGTAAATAATTTAAGAGATACTTCTGCTCGTACGATGATTTTGTTACTTCATAAATGCACAGAAATTTTAAAGACTCAGTGCCTATGGCGTTTCCATTTTTTAGCTTAGTGGGACAGCGCATAAATTATACTTATTATTATCCCCAGCGATTCGCACTCACTGCGTTACGACTAAGCGTTTTATACTGAATGCGTTTAAGGTTGCGCACACGCACTACTTTAAAGGATTTTTAATGTCGGAGTCATTTCGTAGAATGGCATCGCGAGAAACCGCTTTTTTTGCAATCCGTCCCACCTTGCACTTACATCTAATCTAATCAAAATTCTCGACATTTAAAAATTGCGACTGAATGCAATATTAAATTTTGTGTCATATATAAATATATATGTGTGTGTCGACGTGCGTGTGTGTCTCTCGGTGAGTGCGTCGTGCGCAACTAAAATATCTTCAGCATACTATAGACCCACACAAATTCGGTACTACTATTGTTGTTATTATCCAAGTCAAATGTATTTATTAGTCCTTAGACAAATCTCTAAAGATTGTTACCAGACATGCATCATCCCATTCGAAACGTTGAATGGATATATCTGCGCGTTAAATTAAAATTAACTAAATGCAATTTAATTATCGTTTATCGGCGATGGTAAATTTTATTGTGTTCCTATACGGGGTACAATCCTGAAATATTGTTTCTAATCGGCAAAGGCATGATTGTTTGCATTAATACGATTATTACAAAAAAAAAAATAGGAAAAATAACAGGAAGACTGTGTATACACGTTGCGTATTACTATTGGCTTTGTCGCGCGAAGATTTTCGGATTCTGTATTTTTCCTTCCTTTTTGTGGTGTTATTGACTTTCTTTCGTTTCTTTATTATTTGTTACGCTTTTTTAAGGCTGTCTATTTCACAATCGATGAATTCTATTCGAGCATACATATTGTATTTTGACTACATTATACTTATATCTTTGAGCAAAGCAAGATTGCATTCGGATACTTTCTTTTCTTAATATATATACATACAATATATTATAAATATAAATATTTCGAAATCTGGCAATACCATTTTCACAATGTTCCTCAATGGATATAGATCGATGCACTTTTTCTCTACTTTTCTCTTAAATTTTCTTTTTTCTCAATTTTCTTTCTGTCGGTAACAAAGCCATATTTGATACAAAATGATTGCCTTTACATTGTACTAAATCGAACATGTGCAAAGAAGAAATGAATATATATATATATATGCATACGGACGTTGTTTTATATTTTACATTTTATGTAAACTGGCGAGTTAAGCTAAATTTTCATAACTTTATTCATTTATTGACAATCTTGGATCTGCCGATAGTGCATCCATTACGCTAGAGCAGTGTATACGAAAAATAGCGAATCGTGCTACGATCGTAATCGTGACGACACGCATGGGTTTTTTTTTACTAATGAAGGGTTTTTTCCTTTTTTTATGTAGTGTCATTTGCGAGAACTCCAGGTGGTATATTTACAATGCACAATAACACAATTGTTCATCAGAATCATTAATTCGAAATTTATAAGTTTCTGTAGCACGAAAGTTATCGAAGTTTTAAGGGCAGTATTTTTATATCTTTCTTTTTTTATGTTTTTCTTTTATTACTTAATGTTTTTAACCCAATTTTTTATTTTTATCATTGCAGTATAAATTGTGTTTTTGTTGCATTTACACAGTTATCTGGAGTACTGCAAATAGAATTTTTAATGATGTTACTAGTAACTATTAATTAATCAAATGGAAATGAATTGATCATTATCAAAGACTTTGTATAAATAGGGGAACGTACTAAAACAGAATATGATAGAATGTTAACTGGAAGCTTAATTATTTTAATTGATCGTTAGTCGATTATGGCGCAATATATATATATTTAAAATACCAGTTGATTTATCGTCTTACTATTACCAAATGTCGTGTACCTAATTGCTAGAACTGTATAGCCATTGTTAAAAACAAAAGAAAGCATAGAAGAAAAACTGAAGCTATAATTATGTTATGTTAATAATTGGCCGATTTTCCACCAACATAAATTTCTATCAAATGTATGGATCGGGGAGTCGGACTCATCCGATCATTTCATAAACGAATACGATACGCATTGAGATATTGTACCGTTACACAAAATACACTATTACTATTATCATAGACCATCTATCGATTATTATTATTATATATTATATTAATATCAATAACGAGGTTATTACATGAAACACTGCATACAAATATATAAATTATAGATCAAATAAATAGTTTTGCAAATTGAAAATATCGTTTATTCATTCTGTTACCTATATATAATTTATTATGAACGTTATGATGGCGTAAATACTTAAAAGCTGGTGTGAAAGACGTCAGCTGTCTTTCACAGTCAGTTGCCGAGTATGGTACCTGTAACTAAAGGTTATACTTGAAGATATGTTTCTTCCTGCTAGAGAACTGCGTGTTGTTAAATTTCCGGCGAAAATGGAAGGAGACAACCGTTGTTCGAAGCAAGAATCATATTTTTTCTACAATACTTTGGCCATCTTATTAAAAGCTGTTGAAGGTGAAAAAACTATAGTGGATTTACGCAATGAAGCTTCAATTTTCGGTCGTGTCGAACAAGCTGATGGGTAGGTTAGTTTTATTAACATCATTAATATCACCGACCTGATATGTAAACAAGGTTTCAGAAATGTTAATGCATTTACAGATTTATGAATATTGTTATGAAAGAATGTGTCTACACGGATCCCAGAGGAGACAATTTCAAGTATGATATGTTTTTCGTCCAGGCACGCAACATTCGTTACGTCCACATACCCGCTGATGTAAGTGTACAATAAAAGTTTCATTTTTCTGCAACAGTCGAAGTTCATGGTATCCAATTATGCAAACTACGAATATCTTACATTTTTAACTGGAATCATACAATTTCTGTTATGTGGAACGTATACTTTTTCTGTGCAAAACTATAATTTTTCTTCATCCGTTTTATTATACTGTCCGAAAAAGTATCACTGCCAATCAATTAAAGTAGCGGGAAATGTATTTAAATGTATTATTCTATTAAATTATGAAACTGACTATTTTAAATAATAGTATCGAACTAAAAGATCTAATTTGTTAATAAAAAGCGTGTTACATCTTGATTTACGATAGTTTTCTCGTTCTACGTATAGTTACTTTGAATTTGTGATGTTGGCAAACAATGTTTGGTAATTTTTATTATATTAACGGCCAGCTGTTATCTGACAGCGTATTATTTATTTTTACACACCCTTGGAGTACATACGTTGCTCTGAACATGAAAATAGCATTAGCCCAGTTACGTACTGCCATGCCCTGCTTTCGCGTAGCATTTCTATAAGTGCGTGGTGACGTTTTATCATCAAATATGATTGGACGTGTCAGCCGAGTGTATTGCAATCGTGTGTATGAAAGAAAAATAACATTATTTAGTTGGAAGCAAGTATATAGCATACCGCACGTATCTTGGCTGAAAGTAATATATCAACAATATTCGACGACATCCAGTTATCATCAAGCTTTCAATTTCCCTTTCCAAAAGAGTATGGATATCTTTCGAATCAGTGATTATGATTGTGTTGGGTTTGACCTGGATAATACATTGTTGCGTTACAATATTAATAATATGGTAAATTTAGAATATGAAACATTATCTAAGTTTCTTGTAGAAAAAAAAGGATATGATCCAAAGTATCTACGTAAGCCTTTAAGTGATCATGATCTTGACTTCATGCAGAGAGGACTTATGTTAGACTTTGACAGAGGGAATATTATAAGGATAAGCTCTAGTGGAATGATTCTCAGAGCTAGTCATGGTACTAAACTATTGAACAATGAAGAGATAAGAATGGCCTATCCTGATCAAAGGTGGTACGTTACTGATGCATTCAGTAAGGATCCACTTGCTACATGGAATGGTCCATTATCGTTGAAAATGAGGACAGTATTGGATTATTTTGATATGCCTGCTTCTTTAGTTTTTGCCAAAGCTGTTGATACACTAGATGAAAAAAATGAAGGACCGTTAGATATGTACCAAATTTGGCCTGACGTATTAGATGGTTTAATCGATATGTTTGATAGAGACCATTTTCAAACTGGAGAAGGGTACTATTTTAAAATACTGAAAGAAAATCCAGCAACCTATCTCCATAAATGTAGCACTCAAACTGTATCCTGGCTCAGAGAAATAAAGAAAAGGCAAAAAACTTTCTTAATCACTGGATCAAATGTAGATTTTGCAGATTTTACTGCAAGTTACACATTTGGTGATGACTGGCGATCACTTTTTGATATTGTTATTTGTTTTGCTAAAAAACCTGGATTTTTTATTAGCAATAAACCGTTTCTTAAGATCATGGATTATAAAGAAATTGGAAGTGTAACGTGTGATGTGATGAAACAAGGCGAAATATATAACCAGGGAAATTGGAATGATCTCCATGAATTTTTCGGTAGAAGTATTGGTCAGAACGATTTACGTTTCTTATATTTTGGCGATAATCTTGTGCAAGACATCTATACTCCATGTGCAAAAGTTAATTGTCATACAGTGGCTGTCATTGATGAACAAATGGCAGAAGGAATGGTGCATCAGAAAGATGTTCATCCTGATGAAAATGCAATTAATTCAAAATTTTGGGGTTCATATTTTTGTTTGAAAGATAGCACAACAATGACTCATGTGCATTCTATATGGAGCCACATTATACAAAATTACGCAAAGATATGTATACCAACAATAGACATGATTTCATCAAAGCCATTAGATGAACCACTAAAATCTTTCTCCACAAGCAATAAAAACCTCTGTGGATATCATCCAGAAAAACCACTTAGTATATCTACATTTTAATTTTATAATAATTTAACTGCATATGTGAAGCAAGCTTTACATTTGTTTCTATTATATAAGTGAAGGATACTATATATATGTAATTCTTTTGATAAGTACAAGCGTAGTTTATGTAAATTAAAACGTTCGTTAGTTAGTATTGTGTACTAATACGAACCACAGTAATATTAGAAATAGGTATAGAATAATAAAGAAATATTAGTATATTAGGTACTTTTATAAATTACTTCAGAATGAAATTTTTAATTTTTGCCAGTGTTAGCATTGAAGTTGTGCAGTACTTCGATAATACTATTATGCTCAATTACTATGGATTTGCTCATCAACATTATTGTTCCAATGTATATGAAATTTTTTTTATAATGTATTTTAAATAATTTTAACTCTCAATGTCACTATTTTGTAATGTATCATTGTACGTGTTTTGCTTATTAAAGATACCGATTATGCCTGCTATTAAGAAGCAGTTACAACAGCACAAAGGCCTTCCTCGAGATGATAAAAGTGTAAAACCTACGTTTAAAACGAAACGGGCACAGAATAGACATCACGAAGGTATGATGGCTGTACAGCATATTATGAAGAGTCGAAATCAAAAGAAATCTGAAGACGAAGACGAAGATAGTGCAGTCAATTAAGTTTCAGGGCCACAGGTATGGCCTCACAGTAAAATGTGTTAAATTTTTTATAATGTGCGCATTTGTTCCTTTACGTTGCAATGAAATATTGTGAATTGTTAATGAATATATCAATTAAATTAAAATTGTATACCCCCTTAAATCTTTGTGTCGAATTATAAGATCTACTGTTTAAGCTGATTAGGAAAGGAAACTCTCTCATGAGGAATATTGTACATTGCACATCAGTCGATAAATATTTTGAAATACATAGATTTATTTCTGTACATATATTTATTTTCTTCCCTTGGTTTTCATTATAAAAATATGTCTCTCACACTCTCGATAAAAAAACTTAGATACATTCCTGCACCCTATTAAAATCATTTGAAGTAAAATCTTACATATATAAAATACTTATTTTAACTAGAAACAATTTTTGTTTTGTTACGTCACCTTTTATCGTTCTTCTCTTACAGATACTGTGAAAATACTGTGAAAAATGTAGTTGAATATACTTTGATCGTAATACTTCTCCGTTTTCAGCATCTAACTAATCCTGAAACTGTGTCTATTTCCTGAGTGAAGTACTTCCTATGCACAATTTTATATATTAGCGAGTAGAAAAAGTAGCCAGTTGAAAAAAGTGGTATCAGCAAGGTAAAGATAATTTCACAGAATCGTGCATAGATAACTATTAACTATGAAGGCCAAATACGGTGGCAGTATAGAAAGTAAAGTACTAAATTAGTTTAAGTATTCGGGACATATTATTCGTTATTTTCTCTCAAGTGCAATGGCTATTCCCATTCCACCTCCTATACATAAAGATGCAATACCCTTTTTGCGACCAGTACGTTCTAACGCGTGTAACAAAGTCACAAGAATTCTGGCTCCTGCAAATAAAAATTATGTAAATCCACAGGAAATCCTAATGAATCTATTTTTTTCGTTCTATTAAACTTACCAGAAGCTCCTATTGGATGACCAAGAGCAATTGCACCTCCACTTATGTTAACAGTATTAGGATCAAGTCCAAGTACTTTCAAACAAGCAAGAGACTGAGCCGCGAAAGCTTCGTTCAATTCGTAAAGATCAACTTCGTCCTTTGTCCAGTTAGCTTTTTTTAACTGTAAAAATATTATGTCACGTAGCATTAATGGGGCTTTACTGCGGTACTACTATAATGTGCAATCAAAATGTAGTTAATATAAATACTAACAACTAATTCAACGGCAGGGATCGGACCCGTGCCCATGATATCAGGTTCTACGCCAGATTGCGCAACGGCTACAATATGTGCCAATGGAGTTATACCTTTGGCCGCAGCGGTTTCGCCAGACATGAGGACTACTGCTGCTGCACCGTCATTGATGCCTGATGCATTTCCTGCTGTTACTGTTCCATCGCTCTGCAGTAAAAAAATATATCATCTATACACATATCTTTGTTTATTCTCTGAAAAATTGGAGTTCGTTGGTAATATCCGTGATACCTTGATAAATACCGGTCGTAATTTACTAAGTCCTTGAACGGTTGTGCCCGCTTTAGGAAATTCGTCTTTCGATATGACAATAGATTCCTTTTTACTTGGTACCGTTACGGGTACTATTTCTTTATCGAAATAACCGGCTATTATCGCTGCCTCTGCTTTCTGTTGAGATTTTGCTGCATACTCGTCCTGTTCTTCTCTATTTATGTTGAATGCTTTGGATACGTTCTCAGCTAAGCCAACATAAAACACATGGTAATGTTTAGATTAAAATTTGCTTACCTTATGTGGTTGAGTTTAAAGTTTGACATGGAAACTAGATCGAGTCTCATTTTTAATTTGAAATTTTGTTGAACGTTCTTTTGACTATACCTGTAATCCCCATATGGATACCAGTAAATGCATCAGTTAAACCATCAAAAAGCATTGTGTCTATCATGCTGCCATCACCCATTTTTATACCATTTCTCAGGTGAATAGTATGTGGTGCCAGACTCATATTTTCTTGACCTCCAGCTACTACAACTTCATTTTCGCCAGATTTTATAGACAAGTATCCATTTAATACAGCCCTTTAAATATATATAGAAAAATCCAAGTGTAGTGTTATTAACTTATCAGGCACAAATGCGATAATAATGTATAGTAGTAAAGTATAAAAAGGTTACATGTAATTTGAATCATAATGTGAAAGAGGTCACTTTTTGTATATATGTGCTACAAATATAACTTTTAAGTCAAGGTTCAAACTTACTTTAGACCAGAACCACAAAGCATATTGACAAGATAAGCAGGTACAGAAATGGGAACTCCTGCTTTAATGGCAGCTTGTCTTGCTGGGTTTTGACCCTGCGCTGCTGTTAATGCCTAGAAAAGAAAACACCCATTATACCTAATTTTGATTTTAATAAAATTATTGTCTTGTAATAAAATATAGACTAAATATAGATACTTTCAAAAAAAAATTCTGATTATCCCATCATACCTGGCCAAATACAACTTCAGATACATCTGTGGGCTTTAATTTGGCTCTGTATAAACTTTCCTTAATAACAATACTTCCCAAGTCTGATGCCTTCAGCGAAGATAGAGCTCCACAAAAAGAACCTTTAAATAAAGTTGCCATATTATAATGTATACAAATAATATTTTCATACAGATCTATTAGAAACACATAATTTAGATGAGTAGCATATAAATGTATAATGAAGAAAGTAATTGCACGAAAATTAGCAATTTGAATATACATATGAAAATTTAAATGAGTATTATTAAGAATTTGAATTATTAAGAATTTGAGTAAATGATATAAACAGCAACAAAATTATGTATAATAAAAGCGGATTATTCCAGTAAGTAAAGAAATTTAAAAAACTGCCAGTAAATAAGTGTTAAGAAAACTATGAATTAAAAACTATGAATGCGTTAACACAAATAATTATTACTGACACTATTCGTTAACTTTAAAATAAGTTACTGCAAGGATTTCAAATCGTAGACCGAATTGGAAGGAATTCAAATGGGGTTAATGACACACTTCCTATAATATTTAGTTAAATGCAAATATAAAGTTATGTAAACTTAAGATTACTCTTGATCTACCTATGGGTGTCCTAACTGCTGACACAATCACCACGTCGCGTCCACTCATCGTGAAAAACTAATGCCAAATAATGAACTTTACTATGACTGCTGTCGCGGGCTGCTATAGCGGAAAGAAGTTACCAGCCGATAGAGGAACCGATAACGTTCTGTCGCAGTGGCGTCTCAACGTCCGTTACGACCACTAGTCACAGCAATTTACTACATGTAACAACATGAAATAGTAGATAAACCACAACAGTGGTCGTATATAACATTTAAATTGTTGAAACTTAATAAAACTACATTGTTTATAATTTTAGTTATCAAATTAAAATTTATTTACAGTGGAAGGGTGCTTGCTATTCAACTTTAAATATTGATCATATTTCGCGCTAGGTATAAACACTACAGTTCAACTCAGAACTTAGACGCCAATGATGCGTATAAATCGTAGAAGCACAGTTATAGTACTTTCAATGCGGTATATTTAAAGATATGGGTTATCGTTGATGATAGCTACGAGACTGTCTGACGTCGAGAAATCTAGTTGGCTAGAAGCAATACAGGTGGCGCGTCTCGAAGTGATGTTCGTTTGTTTTTACCCAGTGTGCATTGTGATCAGTGACTGGTGCTAAGATGGCTGACAACAAGGAGGAGATTTCGGAGCTCGTGGAAAAACGAGGTATTTATCAGAACTCAGAGGCTTACCCGTTGTGATTAGTGCCGGATGGCGATGCCGATTTAACCAGGAGTATCGAAATGTGGATAAGCGTGAGGTGATATTCGTAAATGCCGTAAAAAAAACGCCATCTGTAGGTTCTATAGTTCACGGAGGACAGGCACGAATCTTCGCCGATATGCGAAAATCTATTTCTCCGGTCTCACCAAGGTTTTATGTAATTCAATGCTGGCACCGTAACACCGTCAAGTCCAGAGCATGTTTGTCATCTCTCTGGCTATCCTGTCAAGTAGCAACTTTTGCGGCTTGACAGGCTACGTGCCTGTCCAGCAGGAGCTACGATCTGCAGTACACCCCTCAGATGGAACGTTCGGTCAGACCGACAATTCCCGTGTCGTGTCGCGCTATGCTCGTTACTCATTAAGGTCATACGGCAACGGCCTTGCGATCGGCAAAGCTACTAGAATAATCTCCAGCGATTGATAGTATCTGTCGAATTCTGTAGCCGATTCCTGCTTGTCTTTCCTTCACACCGCACGCCTGTCGTTCGAAACTGCTCCTGCACCTATCCAAGAAAGAATCATTGGTCGTTGATGCGTGTCTCTTGGATGTCACGTTCTAAACAACTTCCTAATGAACAACACCTTAGTGCACATATGTATAGTTATTGTCGCTATGGATTTCTGCATAACCGACTGAGTTTGCGAACGCCTCCAGAAACTTTTGACGAGAATTTTGACGTTGCCATATGACGGCCCCACCGGTCGATTCGATGATTCCATTTATGCTTGTCAGTCATTACTTTGTCTTTGGACACACTACCGTATTCTATTGCTTATTAGATTGCTCGTAAGTTAATGCGAGAGGATGGATCAAATATCAGAGAAGTTGCGATACAAGACATCTGCCTTGCGTCGTACATCTCCTAGAAATTTCTGTTTCCATCATGTCGTCAATGACCTGGCCTTTTTCAATGTCAGCTCGAATCACAATGAGTGCTAACATTGTCATTGCTACGGTGTTCCTCAATACTGCTTGTATTATCTCATGTTCGCATTTGGCGATGCTGTTATCAAAGTCGTGATAATGATAGCCATCCACAATGAGCGTCAATTGAAAAATAAAATTTCGTGTATTTACGACGACACCGAAGAAGGTGTCTCGAATTTTGTGTCCATTTGCACAATTTTAAAACCGCATAATCGTTGCAGTATAGCTTACAAGTCATTCAGTGAAATTCTAGTCTATCAATGATAGGCGTGTGATACTAAAACACCAGATACTGGATTCTCCTATCGCAGAACTCTTTAAGCCGATGTAGATAATAAACTTACCAGAAAAAAAGGAGCACACCTACATTTCGCGTGATTGTCGTAATTTCAAGGTTTACGGGTCATTATGCTACAGTCCAGTAGAAAATACCTCATATATCTAGCAGGAGAATCGTTCTAGCATTAAGTACCGATATCAAAACAGGGTCGAATCAATCATAAAGTATACCACGCCTCTACACATAAAGCTAGTCCAAAACGCAATTGAGTTACTTTTCATAACGTTAAAATCGATCCCAAACCATACAACTGACCGCGGGCACACTGTTACTCCTAGTATATAAGCGAGTAGCAGCAAGGGAGAGTCACTCCAAAAAGCTGGTATCGTGCCATATGTCGTTAGGGAAGTAGTAGGAAGTATTAGATATACCAACCCCTAGAAAAAAAAAAAAAAAGGAATTCATTAATCCAGTCCATAACGCATATATCTCCCAATACAAACTATGCGAATAGAGTCTGCAAGCTCCGTTTTATTTATTTACATAAAATATTTCTCCATCCTATAAGAAATACTCGTTGAACATACTGTGTTTTAACGGTAACTAGAACGATTAGAAACGAAACGTTGTCAAAATTCATAGGACCTGTTGCTACTCGTGGCGTGGTCCTCAAACCAGTTTAGGAAGGATCCCACGCGGTGCAGAGCGGAGTGAAGCTGCTCGGTCGGCGCTCGTCAATTCGGAAGGCTCATTTTTCGAGGGAACGATCAATCGACCGCAGTCTCGCAGCGACCACGAGTCATTAGCGTATCGTTGACAATGAATTAAAGCCGTACAGTAATACGTGGCAGTGTACTGCTGCAGTGCTTGGCAGGCCAAGCGCGAGGAGAGACATACCTGTCCGCTATAGCTACGGTATGCATAACACTCGGGGACTGTCCAACTGTTAATGATTCCTCTAGATGTTTCAACCAGAGCGGGTAAACATGCTGATCTCTCATCTAGGAAAAATTCATAAAGCGACTAAAGCCCATCGTGTAGATTCGACTGTCTGATTAGAATATGTGAGTCATGACTGCGCATACGTTTCAAGATTTTTCAAGTAATTGCATTACACCTTGGTTACGATCATATACATTATGGAACTGTCATTACCTCGATACTTCTACTAGTCATATCGTTAATTTTTTTTATCGCACTGTACAATTTTCACACTCAAGTATTTTGGTGATAATTATTCGTATCTTTTTTTTTTATGGTACTGTATAAGGCTTTACTTTATGAAATTTAGATTTTTTTTTTCAAGTAGTTTCTTTTTATCTTATTGAACGCATTAGACAGGACAGGGACCTCCTGCTTGTAACGAACTCCTCGTTAATTCTAGTGTGAACTATTCCACGAGATTGATTAACGGCTATAATCCACTTTTACTTGGTAGAGAAAACCAGTTAATTTTTCATGGTGTTTTATGTTGTCCTACGTAGAAAAAGGCTCGACATTGTTACGCGTCGAGAAAATGCATGAGCGCAATGGCGAGCATCTGCGTCCGTGTTAATTTTCCTTCCTGGCGGCTTAACAATCCAACGGGTTAACATTGTGACGAGGATGATGTTCAATTAGACCTACGTATGCTAAGGATTGTCGCTGCCTTTCATTGCGATACGGCCCAACAGGCCTGAGACGAGAGGTCGACCTCGAGGAACTGTGTAGGTGGATAGAAACAGTGGCAGCGGTAGGTAGGTATCCGTGTCGGCGTGATTATACAACGTCTCCCCCTATCTCTCGATACTTGAGGATACTTTTACTTCTCATTTTTTTTTTCTCGCATTCGTTCTCACTTTCTGATCAGACCGCGTCTCCTCGCTCCCGCCGAGTCGTCGTCATACACACGTCAATCCGTCGGATCGACGATTCGAATTTTCTGTGACAGAGTTGTGCGTCTCGTCTCTTACGAATCTTGCGTCAATATCATTGGATCAATGCTTGCTCTTCTTTCTTCTCTTGCAAATATTGTCATTGGTGTTTAATAGCTGGTCGGATGGCTGCAACGGAAAGAAAAATTTGCAAATGATACCTGCTTGGTTAGGTGCTCGAATCATTAAGTTAAAAGAAGTATGTAGGCATAGCCATAACCTTAAACTCAGCGGCAGTCACAGCCTGATAGGTACGCATAATAGAGGGCGTTCTACTGCGGTAACGTACTAGCAGTGAACTCGACATACAAAAGGTTTTCTCGGAATCTTGAAATTCTTCTCCTTTGGTCTCCATACTTCATTTTTTTTTTCTATTCATTCCCGTATATCTTATTGTTCACGCCACGTCTGAAATACTCACGTGGGTAATTCCTGCGACCTTCCAGGCTTGCACTAGGCGAAAGAGACTAGCAGCGAGTGACATTCCGCGATAAATATTTTGTGCCGTCAGAACCCTTACGTTTCTTTCAATAAATCATCCACGATCTGTGATTATAGTATACGTTCAAACGATTGGTACTACTCTCGCGTAATAATCAAACCAGCTTTTCGTGATTCAATAATAAATAGAATCCATATCAGTAATGCTCACGAGATAGGATGTCCTTATCGGAGCTTAATCGTTCTGCATATCTAAAAATCCATATTTCACATAAGCTTTATCTATGGCCGAAGGTAAACAGTCTCTCCACGTTTATATATCTCATTGTCAGATCTTCTCAGGCACTTGTGAAGCTTCCACTAAGCTTCCGTTATTCGCGAACTGGACTCGTGAAATTGACGTTCCACGTGGAACTTATGATATGCGCATAACATCGGCGTCCGATGTTGCCGTCGTGGCGTGGAATGGAGGAATAGAACGTGGAACGAAGTGGCGTGAGTTGGCTTGGCGTGCAACGGTCGGTTTCGTTTCGCTAGGCTTAACATGCACGATTCACACGTGCGCGCTTGTGTGCTGCGCGGGATTCACTGCGAAGAAGTAGCGCGACTCCTTTAATCCCAGTGTCTTTACAGCTGACCGACCGAGTAGCGCAGTCTTTTGTATTTACAGGCACACGTGTACGCCTTATGCGCCCGCGCATGCGCACTCTGGCGTCTCCATTTTTCGCCTTTTTTTCAAATACATTTCTCACACGCACGACTGTAACGCCGTTCAAGAGTAATGCAATTAGTTTCTCTTCATTCGCGCTTCGCAATTTTCTAAATCTCATCGCATGTATTCATAACCATTCCGAGATACGGCTGATAACGGCATTGCTGATTAGTCGAGAATTCGAAAAGGATATATCAAGTGATTGAA